CTCTGCTCGCGGGGGTTTAATCTGTGCGCGAGGGTCATTTCATGCGCGTGTAAAAGCACATTTTCCGCTCGTGAGTAGCTTGTTTTGCACGCTAGAATATTGACCCAAATCTGACTCCATAGGTGGAGGTTTAAATGCTAGTGGGAGTTGGGTTTGCACTTCAGTCTTTTTTCTTTTGGTACCGGTGATATTCACGTTCGGGTGATGCCTTTTTCAAATGAGTGTGCAAGTTTGATGTATTGCCAGCCGCGTCACCAATTTTAGTTGAACAATGCCGACAAACAGCTTTGGTTCAGTCCACCTGTCTTTGTCCGTCATCCTTGTACGTAACTGCGAAACCAAAATGTTCCCAAACCAGACATTTCAATGATGCTGGAGGATTTTGGAGCTCAACTTTATCTGCGTTCGCCATTTCGACAGTTCCTCAAATTACTGACTACATTTGAACCCATCCCTGTGACCAGCTCTCGTCCAATGAAATGACTTGCTCGCTCTATGACGCGTTGAACCCAATGTGAGCAAATTACTCTGAATGCTGAGATTACTTCCAAGAAGTTGTTCACGTTTTCCATTTTTTACGTTTAACGTTATATTCGTTCGGTACACACGTGTACCGAACCGAAGGGCCCGTACCGAATAATTTCGGTACGGGTACGTATACCGTTACACCCCTAATATATACTCAATGTAGTATAAGGTTTGAACTCATTGTCTTCAGTTGTAATTGTCTATCGCATTTCTGAAATAGTAAATGGCTTGTATGTTATTGTGAACTATTTAAATCGACCAAACTCTGAAGTCAGTAATAACCCAGACTTTTTTTCTTTTCAGACTCAGTGGCAGTACTGCAATGACTAGCCGGGATCCTAGCCATGCAGAGAGCGCCCACTCCACAGAAAAACCACCACCTGCCTTGTCCCCCAAGCTCCATGTCCTGCGATCGCCATCAAAGGACAACATCACCATCCACTTCTCAGCTCTTGGGAAGGAGGAAGAGGAGGAGGAAGAAGAGCTGTACTGGACAACTGTCTCCACTCCCTCAGGAGCTCAGGATGACTCAAACATTGTGACAGCCGTAGAAGCAAGTGAAGAGATGTTCGATTGCATTCCATCAGAGTCTGCGGCCAAGGCTGCTGTCATGCCTGACTCGTCCGTACTATCTTCAGTTTCTAAACATCACACTAATCGTTCTCCAGCAGAAACTTCACCATTGCATACTGCTGAGCAAAAAGGCTCAACTTACAATCCCTCTCCAACTAAATCTTTGAGCTTTCCCTCCAGTGACAAGCCCTTCTTCAGCATGGTGAAGTCTCTCTCGTCCGACATTGATTCTGGTGACGGGATCCCTTCTGTTTCTGCTCCCACAGTGAGGCATAGGCAACTGATGAGAAATCTCGTCAAATCGTTGTCTTCAGACACATCCCAGGAATCTTCTTCTTCTTCGTCGTCATCCTCCTCCTCCACACCCTTCCGTCTTCCAGACTCCCGCCTTAACCTGCAACTCTTCAAGCAATTCACACAGTCTCGGATGCCTTCTGCTACCACGACGTCAGCTGGGGACTCTAAAACTGCACCTTCTTCTCCATTAATCACGACGGATGCCCGCAGCTTCTTCAAGGTCTCAGAAGTTGAGGCAAGAATCGAAGACACTAAGCGGCGTCTTTCTGAGGCCATCTCCGAACCACTCCAACTGCTGAGAGAGATGATGGACGAAAAGACTGGCAGCAGCATTTACCGGCCGAAAGTTCTGTCTGCCAGTGCCTCAGAACTCTCCATTTCCTCTATCAATGCTCAACTGGAGAGCAACAACAACTACTGCATCAAGGAGGAAGAAGGAGTTGACCTAGAAGCTGAAGCCCTTAACAGCGAGGCTTCTGGTACAACTGAAACATCTGTTCTTTCCTCTGTTGACACTAAGAGCCCCAACAAATCTTTACTTTCAATGTCATTGGACAAATGCTCTATGTCTGCTCTCGCTAAACAAGACGACGAGGACTATTGCATCCTGTACAGTGAGGACTTTGAGACTTGTGACAACACAGCAGGTGATATAACTGATGATACCAGAACTGGGAGTCAATCTAAAGAGCCACTAAGTGGAAGTACAGAACTGTGCAGCGAAGATGAATCTGACAGGTTTGAGCCTGTACCCAGTGTTCCACACTATACACTGGTCATCCTTACTGTACTGCTGTATGGGTGTTTTGTATTACCTCTGCCGAGTTACGTAGGAGGAGTACTGCTTGGGATTGGGCTTGGGTTTCTTTTAGCTATTGGCGTTGTGTGGCTGACGGGACCTAAACCTTCTGGCAGTGCTTTTAGACATTCCATACAGCGTGGGAAGCTGTGGGATGTCACCAGGTTGGATATTAAGGAACCAGAAATCTACAAGGTCAGTGAATCTTTCAAACTTCCTTAAATTCATTTTGTCCTGAATGCCTTAAAGGATTTTGCTGATGGACTTGTTGCTCATATGTCAATTCGGTACTGATACATGTATTGATAACATTATGAAAACATTTTTTCCAAACTCTTTGTTATACTGACTCCACTAATCCACAGTGTTTTCAACTTGTCCAAACCTCTCAACCACACAAATACAAATGACTGTGTTATAAGTCATAGTATTATATAAAAGCTGTGACTCAAGTTATTTGTTTATTTATGGAACCAAATCTGATTAGTAATTGACTGATTGTCCAGTGTCATCTGGCTTTTCCTAGTTTTGGCCACTTACTGATATCCAGTGGTCTCCAGTCAGTACAATACATTCAGCTTGTGCAGATTTATTTGCTTTCATAGCCTTTTTGGTCAAACTTGGTAATGTGATTTATTTTGTATAAGAACTATTTATAAAAAGTCTAGCTTTCCAGATTAATCCCGTAGGTTAATGCTTTAATGTTGACAGCCCTAGTCTGTTCTAGCTGGTATTCAAGGAAAAGTCAAACAGTCCATGAGGCATCATCACAGCTCAAATGTTTCATGGCTCTGTGCAAATCTAATCCATTTATCACAATGTTTGATAGAAATCACTTCTGTTTGCCTCACATCCACTGAGTGAGAGGTGGACTACACACTGGACACTTTACCGATCCAACATAGGGCTAATAATAGACAAGCAACTATTTAATCTTCACACCTAAACTGCCTGTAAGGGAGGAAACCTTTTTAACAATTATTAACATGAAGTTAACTATCCTGTGTGCACAAATAATAAGAAATCACTTGGAGCCATTGACACCTTTCCCCACACGATAAATATCTTGAAAAAATGTCACCTCTCAGGACTTTATCATAATGCTTGATTTAATGCCTTGCATACACTTTTACAACAGAGAATGTGACCTTACTATGGCACTGTGTGTCTATGGACTGCTGTGAATGAAAGAAACACGGTCATTTAAGATGCTTACTTCTGTGAAAGATTTAGCATTTAAGTGACAGAGCAGAACATGAGCTAAATGTGGATCCTGGGCTGGATTGAACCAGGAACTTCAAAGTCTGCCACAGAAAGCAGCTGACAACAAACTACTTGGACTTGAAAAGCTCTTTTATCAGTGTCTGCTCATAGAGGCATGGGTACACACTGACAACACACTGTGGGTGCGTTTCACTTCGGTTAAATAAAATCCTTGCGTCCCTCACTTGTGTTGTTTCCCTGCGACTAGTCCCTCCCACCAGGGAAGCATGGAGAGACGCAAGGAAACCACAAGAAGCAGGGAAATTAGTTTTAAGAGCAATGGGACGTCCTTTCCTCCGGAGCGTCACGTGAAGCGACGTCGGTTTGTGATGACGCCGCACAGCTGATCGTCTGACAGCAGCCAGATCAGTGCATGCACTGCATCGTCCAATCAGTGAGCGATACACAGTAAGGGGGCGAAGTGAGTGTATGAGGATTTCACCGGAGGATGTCCTGGTAGTTCCTCGATTATCGCTCCTCCGTTATTGCTCCTCGATCCTCGGTCCTCCGGCACAAATAAGACCACTGGGACGCTACTCAAGATCCATCCATCTTCTCCCGCTTATCTGTGGTCGGGTCGCGGAGGTAGCAGTTCCAGCAGAGAGCCCCAAACTTTCTTTTCCCTGGCCACATCAAGCTACTCAAGATGGCGCAGACAAATCAACTTCCGGTGATACCGAGACCGAGGAGCGAGGAAATGAAAAATAAGAGAAGTGAAACGCACCCTGTGAGCAGATGTTTTGCAGTGTCCTCATTTTCCAGGCACAGTTTTGGATTGTTATTTTGTCTCTGTTTTCAGTTTCTCTTCGAATGATCAAAAACATCCAGAGTACATCCACATGTTTTTAAATGGATATCAATTTCTAAATCTATTTGGGAATACTTATTTGAATTTCAGACTGTTTGTGGTACTCACTCTATGAAAATGTACATGATGTTAAATGATTGTCTTCCCTCCAGGGCTGGATGAATGAGATATCGAACTATGACGCAGAGACGTACCATGCCACACTGACACACTCTGTGTACGTCCGCTTGGAGGGCTCCATCATTCGTCTGTCTAAACCCAACCATAACGTCGCCCGCCGTTCCACACACAATGAACCAAAACCTGATATCCAGTACATCAGTCAGAAGATATACGACATCACCAACAGCAAAGTATGTCAACTTGAAAAAGTGATTGGAAAATGATTTCCTAAAGTTCCTGTTGGAGGTCAAATGCAGTTATGTGTTCGAACTAGTAGATCTTGTGAGGGATACGTACATTTCACAGATGTATTAGTCTGTATAAAGCTAGTCAAAGGTTAGGTCATTATAACATGCTATTATATATATCATCAATGTGGGATCTTTAACCGATAATGACAAATACCGCTGCACAAAAACAGGATTATATGGCTGTAAATTGTCTTAAATTGTCTAAAATCAGCGATAGAATTAAAAAAAATCCTACATTAAAAAGTAGTAGTATCAACGTATACTTAAAGTACAAAATGTAAAACAAGTACTACAGGGTTCTTACGGTCATTAAAAACCAGGAAAAGTCATGGAAATTCAAAATGCAAATTCCAGGCCCTGGAAAAGTTATGGAAAACAATATTTTTCAGAAGTTTTGGAAAAGTCATGGAAATGTAACTAAAGTTGCATCAAATATAATTTATATTTTAGCTAATCGCCGAAATAGTAATATGATAATAAATACTTTATCGTACAGTAATGAAACGTAAAATGGCATTTAACTGTCGAGGTATTTTGCTGGTGAGAGATTTTAGTTGCTTTAGCGTGTAGAAGCTAGTAAGCCCATTTGATTTGTTTTAGACAACATGTTTCAGACCTTATTTTCCTGTTCCATGTTAAAATAAAACATTTTCAGTGGTACCGCTGAGAAAGACTAATTATTTTGGTCATGGAAACTTAGGTAAAGGTCCTGGAAAAGTCATTGAAAATCATTGGTGAAAAGGTGTATGAACCCTGGTATTAGTAGTAGTGGCTTAAGTATTATGCAGTGTCTTTTTTCAGGAATGATGTGTATCATATCACTGGATTGTAATGCATTGATGTATTGTGTACACCATTTTACAGCTAGTAAAAGTGGAGCTAATTCTAAAGACTTATTATACTGCCAGGTAACCTTAGCCAAAATATTACATCATCATTCATTAGTTGATTTATATTCTTAAATAACAATTACATCAAAGTCACTAATGTTGTATATGAATAAATCAAGTGGAGTTTAAAGTACAATATTTTCCTCCAAGTTGTAGTGGGATTGGGATGATAAAACGGAAACACTTAAATAGAAGTACCTCAAACACCACTGTATAAAACCCCTGCAATTTGGTAGAGATATATTGAAACCTAAGTCTGTGATTCAGGTCTAACTCAAGTATCTCCCCAGGTATATCTAGCCCCTCAGAGCCTGGCCAGGAAACGTATATGGAACAAAAAATACCCCATCTGCATTGAACTTGCCAAACAGGATGACTTCATGTCAAAGACTGAGGGGGAGTCCAGCGAGAGCCTCAGCACAAGGGACAGGGGGGCTCAGGAGCGAGGGGGGTCCTCCTCCAGTAGAGAGCTCACCCTCTATCTGTTCGGAAGGACGGGGAGGGAGAAGGAGGAGTGGTTCCAGCGCGCTCTGTCTGCATCCAAGCTAAAAGCGGACACAAAGAAAACTGGAAGTGTTGCAGCAACTAAGAACGGTGAGCAATACTGATGATTGTGCCCACAGTTGTCTCCTTCCAGAATTGGATAAAGGATAGCTTGGATGTTTTGAAGTGGGGTTGTATGAGGTACTTATCCATACTATATGTTTTGACCTACAATAGATGTCCCCCCGATTTGATAAACTGACATCAGTATTAGCACGGAAGCTAAGCAATGTGGCGAGGGAAGCAGCAAATCATTAGCCACCTTAAAAATGCTCACTTAAAAACATAGAATACATTTCAGAGAATGCTTTATTTCACATATTTACACTGATTTACATTGCTATGAGACAGCCTGTTGTCTACACCAGACTTCATTGAAAACAGTCATTTTATGTTGCTGTTTTACCCCAGCCTCAAATGAAGTAAAAATAACTAATTATATCAATAGAGGCTGGCGGTTTTGCAGACAGCATCAAGCTTTGGGAGTAAGGGATTACATGTAAAAGGATTAGGTATACACGATACAAAAATAGGGATTGGATTATATAAACACCTCATACAACTCCACTTTAAGAAATCCAAACTATGCCTTTTAAATTGTTTAAATTGTTCTTGTGTTTTTTCATTTGAGATATATTTGTATGCTTTACAGATACAAAGATGGCAATTCTGATCCTGATTTTGAGTAGTTTACAAAATGCAATTTGATAATGAATTGTCTAATTCCTCACCCTTTTTGTGATTTCTTATTTTTGATTCCCTGTGGTCTACAGCTCCGACCTCTCACAGTCGCAGCAGCAGTCGCGGCAGTTTGGACGAAGCTCTAGCATCTCAGCCCAGGTCGAAAGACTCCTCGGTATCCTCAACAACAGCAAGCGGTGCCAGAACCAAACAGCTGCTGGACTACAACGTATACATGGCCTCCTTACTGCCAAAACAGGCGGTAGTCAGCCCTGCAGCGGCCAGCCCTGCTCCTCAGAGTCCTCAGAGCAGCCCGGGGGCAGATAAGAAGGTAGCATCCCACACTTACTCCTACTAACTCCTTTTCCTTTTCTTAATATCCTTCCTTAGATGACAAATGTGTCTTGCCTTACTGTGTCACAAGCTGTGTAATTAATAACAACAAGTAGCTAATCAGAACCAGAAACAAGCCTATGGCCAAGTAGATTTACACAGTAAGAGGAATTCATTTGTAAGAAAAGGAGCAAACAGAAACACTTTTATACAATTCAAAATAAAAGTTGACAATTAATATACATATTCAGTACTGAACTGATTCCAAATCCTCTGGCTGCCATATTTGGGGTTATAGGAAAGGAGATGCATTTAACTTTGGAATCAGTTCAGTACTGAATATGTATATTAATTGTCAACTTTTATTTNGAAACCTGATCGGGACGTAACATTAATACCTCTATACAAAAACTCAACGACCATACTCAAACGAATGTCCAAAAAGGTGGTGACCTCTTTATACGTGCCTGTACAAGTTACATATAAAGACTCTGAATATTATATAATAACTTTTATCACCATAATCTCCTGGAAATTCAACTAGCCCGTAATTCCGGCGTTTTCTGAACAAAGGATTCTCCCGATTTACCAGGAAATTCAATTGATTTAACTTGCAAAGATAAAATATTTATAATAAACTGCGTCAAAATTGGAAAAAAAGTAAACCCTATAACTATTACCGCTGGGGACCTACAGGTTTTGTAAAAAAAATAAGCAATTCACCACACAACAACAACCCTCCCCCGTCGTCGTAATAGTAACATTTTGATTATTGGAAGATTTTCCCTTCCGCCACCTGAAATTTACCACCACATGTAACAACTCCACAAAATGATTCATGGACCCAAACGACCTTTACGATTAATTTCCTAATAATTTCACCGGTATGCGTCGGTCATAGATTGGGATACCTCGCAAACACAGGGGTGGAAACCCGTGTAGAATTGGGTTACTCTTAGACTAATAAAGGATCACTTTATTACCGATAAAACTCGGTTTTTTGGAAAACCTTAGGTCTTTGATTTTTAGAATTTCATGTCTTACTGAAAGAGTATGACATGAAGTTTCGTGTTAAACTACCCATAAACATGAAATGAACCTCCTAAAGGGTACAGATAGGGTTAAGGTCTCCATTTATAACATAAATCTGAGGTGAGTAATAATAATGGACAAATCAAGAAATGTCTAAAACCTAGCTGACTACACTTTTAGATGAGTTCCATCAGACCTAGCTAATAATCAAAGGTGGACCTCAAATTTAAGTGTTCGATGGGGACGTCATGATGTTTGCAGGTAAGTGTGACGACCTGCGACCAACGTCGAAATGCTGTGAAATTACTAGTGTAGGTATATTATAGAGATATAGAATAAGACTTTACCTGGTGTTACCTTGATGAAAATGAAAAACTATGAAAGGCATAGAAACTCGATTAAAAATAATCAAAACATGAAGAACCCTAATTGTACAAACTTACAGTTCCCATAACGGATTGAAACCATGAAGCATCAAATGTAGATGGATGGCTCTCGAGACGTCAATTGAAGAGGGTGGCAGACACGGACACTTACACGACTCGCATTTCGACGCCTCAAGAGAATCCGGGGCCGAGTCTCGAGGGTAAGAATGGGTCCTGTGACGCTACCGCGAGCATAAAATCGGAAGGCCCTCGGGGCAGAAGAAGTCCCCTACGCGTACTCGAGCGCCGGGCCGTGCCGACTCCGACATCGCGCTCTTTGTGGGAATTCCTACGGCTCGTCCTATTGTCGCGGGCCAAGCCCGTAGCCGATGTCACCGGTGAGGTTGTCGCTTTTTTGAGCACTTGCGCGGTGAGACGACCGGACAAGCCTCCCCCGTGTGGACTCTGGATCGTATCGCGCCGTGTCAGTGTACGTGTGGGTGACAAACTCGTCGGGTGAGGTGCTGGTGCCCCCAGTCCGCCCCGAGTTCTGGGTGGTGAGACGGGGTGATGCCAGCGGAGTGGTGCGGACTCGTCGTACCCGGCTTCGTCCTATTTCCATTTAATTTACTATTAAAGACCCCCGCGATCGGTGGGTATAGTGCACAAAAAACATAGGGAACACAAAACCAAGCAATCAGAATAAAGAGCGATAGAAGTGCAACTCCGGTTGAATTAAGGCACCGAAGAAGTGAAGAGTAAGTCAGTGAAAGTCTACCGAAATGCTTCCGGTGATGCGACGGAAGAAGTGCAACTTTACCCTTATTCTGTGTCCGTAACCACAGGCCCAATTGATCGTCGAGCTTGCCGGGAGAGTTATAGTCTAGTCAGGAGAAGTTCACTCCGTCCTTTACAGGGTCGACAGTCTTTGCGTGAGTGGACTCATTACCATTCACGTTAAATGTACCGAATGACACCTTCCGGGGGGGGCCTCGCCCCGCCTCCGTCTCTCCGGTCGGGTCAACACTGGTTGAAAATGTTACCTAGTTAAAGGGGTCCGACGACATTTCTAGGGCATGCCCGGGAGGGTACGAGACATCATGTTGCGTGAACCGATAGAAAGACGACCAGATATTACATTAATCCAGGAGGGAGAAGGGGGGAAGTGTACCGGCAGAGAGAGAGACGAGAGCCAAGAGAGAGAGAGAGAGGAAGAGGAGGAGAGAGAGAGGAGAGAGAGAGAAGGAGAGAGAGAGAGGAGAGAGCAGGAGAGTAGGAGAGACGAGAGAGAGAAAGAAAGAGAGAGAGGAGAGAGAGAGAGAAAACTAGAGAGAGAGGAGGAAGAGAGAGGAGAAGAAAGAGAGAGAGATCAGGTCCGGATAACCATCGGGGGCGGGGGGCCGGACACACGACCCCGAAAGTAACAGCCGAAAGGCAATTCAGAAGTTTGAACCGACCGACTACCGACCGACCAACCATAGGTCCCATATTGATCAATAAAGGCAATTGCCCTGGTTTGTCCTTTTTATTCCCGGAGCACGTGTATGCAAAAATTTTAATACAAACGAAAACCAAACCCAACCCCGTCGCTGTACCCAACGGGGACCAATAACCTTCAAAAGGTGTGAGGTTTTGGCCCCGTCACACGAAAGTGACATTGATAGTAGCCAAGAAGGTAATTTTTTCACCACGAGGTATATTATTTCACACCAAATAAAGGAGATACCTTAACTGACATTACACAAGTTAATACCAATCCTCTAAGTGCCTTCACGTTTGGTGGAAGCAAACCCTATCCAATAGACAAAAACTAGATAAATAAATAAACTACATCCTTTAATAATAAGAAAACATTTACAAATTCGTAGGATATAAAAAAATTAATACAATTTGCGAAATACCAGACCCGAAAATTATAGTTATATACTACTCTTTAATCCATAACATCTGGGTAAGTAAAAAGATTCCTTGATGAACGACAAGTTACACACCGGGTAATTCAACTATAACTATATGTTAATAAAACTTGATAAGGTAGCTTGATACAATCTGTTATTTTTAGGGGGAAGCAAAATATAGCACTGGTGTGGCTACAGGTAGTTAGCCTTCTTGCTAAAACAGGTCCTTGAAAAAGAGCATGTATACTGCCTTCCTCTGTTCTTAACTCTTGCCTATTTCAGGCTGATCAGGTCCAAGCTGTTTTACTTTCAGCTTTCCCTCCAGTGTCCTCCTCTCAAAGGGTGTTTCTTTAAGTGATTAAACATAATTTTCCTTCTCCATATTCGTTATCTAGTTTTGTTTACACTCCGTCTAACTCTCTCTCATTCAAACGTCAATCACTCACTCTGGCGCTCCTGCTGCCCCCTAGTTGTTGGCATTATTAACAGCTGCTTTGGGCGCAGTTTGGAGCGCCCCGAGCTACTCCTATCACTTGCATTGAAGAGTTATAACAAGAGTCAATGGCCAAAGATGTCTCTGCCCCAAGCAGGAAACACGTGACTTATCAGTAACTTTAGACATCGTAAAACTATTGTTATTGATATTATATCGTCGATTATACATTCAACTGACACCAACTATATAATATGTACCTTGTTCATTAAAAATAAAATTAAAGTATTTTTTAATGACAATCTAGAATGTGGGAAGAGGTGGGGCGGCGCCCCTAGTGCCCCTATGAGCCGCCCGCCATTGAACATGTCTCTGAAGTGTTGCAACACCAAACAGGTCATTGTAGCATCCCATTAACCCCTCTGTTTTAGCCCTGTTCCAAAAGTGCAGATTCTGTGTCTGTAGCTTTAAATGCTAATGAGCTGCTGCTGGCCACGCCCCTCTGCATATTTGGTTAAAAAAACACAATAGTGCTCTAGGAAGTCATTCAGGTAATAAGGTGGGCAGGTGTTACCTTGGCTGGTTATTGGCTTATGGTTAAAAACAGTTGTGATGTCACAACGTGACAGATTTTTTAAAAAGGTGTATCTGGAGAAAATGAGAGATGAAGACATTATCTGACACTTTCTGAATCTCTTAAAATACTGGGTACACATATTTATGTATAAAAGACAATAGTTGACCTTTAAGTTAAAAAACCGTGTTGTGAGTGCAGTGCTGTTCGGTGATTTCAGTCCCGTTTAATGGAGTAGCTTTTGAATTAGTCTCTGGTCCATCCTTGTATATAGTATTAGGACTGTTTCTCTGTGGACAGGTGTAGTTCCTCCGGGATGCTGCTTCTGCCATTTGCTTTAACCTTCCCTGTCTGATAAGAAGGACACCATTATTGGCCATCCCTTTCATTTTACACCATTTGTGCTTTTAATCCCAGGGAGCCAGAGTGAATGCTATTGCTAACCTCAGCTGTGACTTCAGCCTGTGTCAGGATAGAGAATAGCTCTAACCAGCCTGTCATCAGCTACTGTTTAGAAGAGTCAGCACGTGGGGGTTGCTTTATTGGAGGATGGGATGTGTGTCATGCCATATCTGTGCGCCTCCTTTAGGTGTTATGTAATGTAATAATAATAATAATAATTAAAACTGCGGTCACAGACGTGCACGCAGTTGTGGGCGGGCCTTCGCGTTTGAGCGCCTGTTGGGGAGGGTTACCGGTCGTCCCGGCGTCAAGCAGATACGCGCGAGTCCTCCGAAATGAGTCGTTCGTAATTTCTCAAACGTTCGCGTCCCGAACTCCCAGGTCTTCCGGCAGCGACCGGGAAATGTATGTGGGCGCGCCGCCTGGAAGGAAAACACATTTCTGTAAAGCAGTGGTTCTCAAAGTGGGGGGCGCCTCCCCCCTGGGGGGCGCAGAGGCATGCCAGGGGGGGCGCGAGTTGTTAGCTTCTGGTGCTAGCGAGCTACGCTAACGGATATAAGGAGTTTTTTCAACAACAAAGTGGAGGAGAGTCCTCTCCTGTCAGACTGAGAGGCTCAGTGAGCTAAAGGACTCTCAGTGTTATCTCAGTGGGTCTCAAACGTTTTGGTCACCATTAATGTAAACAATTATTTCCGAGGCACGCGTTTATATGATCATTATAGTTATAAAAAAATAAGAGAATAAATGAAAAACAGGTATGTAATACTATATGACAATAAAACAATTTGTAAAATATCCATAAAGAAAAAGTAAATCTGTTTACAGTTCTGTTTCATATGGGTGTTGAGAGAGGTATCCATAGATCTCTTCATGTTGCTCTCAAAGTGCACCAGATTGATGCTTTTAACTTCAATATTTAAAAATAAATCTTCCCAGGGGAACTTGCCCCCAGACCCCCCTATGTGAGGTCCACACACCACCTATAAAAATAGCACTTTACCCCTGCTTACACCTACGTATCTCTCAATAATTTAAGTAACAGGCCTATATTACACACTTTATTTCTTTATTTGTATGCTTTAGTAA